CAGTGTTACCCTTGATTTTTGCACCTCATTACAGATGCTTAAGTAGAAAGACCAATTTAATCCTCACCTGTATCCAATCTATCTAAGCAGCTGAGTAACTCATATTAAATCCAGACATGATGGAGTACTCAACTCTCGAATACAATGATGCTATCTGTCGAAGTCATAGTTACTTGTAGGAGGTTGGTTTGCTGTTGATTTGATGCTGATTTAGAGCCTCTTTTGCAAAAGCACAAGCATTTGCTAATAGAAGCACTTGAAGATCAAGGATTGGCTAAAGTTTTGTAAGTTTCGCATTGTCCAGGGTCCTCTTTATTGAGTTTTTAACTTAAGAATGTTAGCTTACATTCAGTATAAACTTGACGAACTTAACTCGTAAGAGCAAGCATTTTCATGTGACTCCAATTACCCACCCTAAGAGCCAACATGTGGACTATGAATCAGGCTACAAAGACATACTCGGGTGAATCTAAACGTATTAATATACGCAAAGTGACATCTGATTATAGAGGCATTCTATTATTTTGGCAAATCTTAAAAGTGCCATAATAATATCAAACAATGTATGGAAGATACCTCTGCTTGATTAATATTAAGAAGTAAGCACTTTTCTCCCATCTTCCCTTTGAGTTCTGAATCTGTAATATTTGACAGATAAACCGCTAAGTGGGCCCTTTCACTTTTCCTGCTTAAACTACATTAAATTTATCTTCTCAAAGTTTTGTTATTAGCTCGTTTATGCTACTATTGCTTGATCTTAAGGTCTTTTTATGACGAATAAAGAACCATATTAGCTGTGACCTGCATCGTTCTGAAAGTGGCTTCATCCGAACCTTTAGGACAACTTTTTAATTACACTTCTCCCCCAACAGGTCTTAGAAGTTTAACGGCTCCTCCTAAAACTACCTAAAATGGAGCAATAAGTCGAAATAGGCGGCGATATTTTATCTAGTACTCTTTTTTTATGGATCTTAATCTAGCGTTGAGAGATACAAGCTGTTAATGCGATTATTTTTCGATATAACAGCTTCAGATCTACAACTAAAAGACCACTTATTACGGTTATCTCATTGCCATTACATAAACTATTGCAAGAGATTCTTACTTTTGACCAAATTCTTCCAAATATGTCTCCAGAACCGCATAATATGAGTTGCAATAGTTTCGTTTATATTTTTGCAAAGCAGAAGAAGCGCAGCCTGAAAACCTTTCTCTAATATTTAAGTTTCAAAATTCCTATGAATTCGGAGTTTTTCATATGAAAATTGTACGCTTGTGAAGCACTTCTTATTTACAGAAAATACGTGATATTCACAGTGACGTATTTACGTTGACAACTCATTTTACTTTCGAATTTATACATCCACGTCCTCTTTAGCAGGCTTGTGGTTATTTCCAAGATTTATATGTTGTCAATCCTGCTTCGTAAATAAAATAAAAATTAGGTGATCACCTCTGATCCCCTCTATTGTGATGAACGACTAACTTTTTCCAACGAATTATACCACTTCTACTAGTAATTAAAATTCTCACCTCTACCTCCTTATCTACCAGTGCTTAAAACACAAATTGGCCAGTAATAAACTTCTACTTAGAACCAGATAGCCGGATATTTTTGCTGCAATCTCCTTGTTTTGCTGGTGCTGCTTTTATAAATAAATTGCAATAACATATGTTCCATTAGGATTTGTGCTATACTTTTTGGGATTACTTGACAGTATTTACAAAAAGGCTCTTTCTGTTTGATGCTAATTTTGTATTTTGTGTCATATTTTAACACTATTTTTCAATTAGCCAAAATTTATGGTCCCAATTTATCCCACTTATCGACACCCAGCTTACATCATCCTTGTTAACAAGCCATCTACTAAATGGCCATCCATCCTCAGTGGATTTACATTCTTGGTATCCGCTGTGCCATCAAAGCCTCGGAAATGAATTCACAGGCCTCCTGGTTTACAGTGGACAATATAAACGTCTGGATCTGATATTTTGCCCAGAAACTCTTAGGCTAAATGAAAAACAGGCATGTCTGAGATATGCTTCTCCAGCGGAAAAGTCCGATTCGGAGGCATTAGTTACTGCCGGAGTGGGGCCCACACGTGTCCTCGCGTTTGACATGTGCACAGACAGAGATGGTGTCGATGGCGAGCAGAACTATCTGGTCACTCTGGAGCTGGAGGAGGCGTCACTCGACGCCAGAGAGTTGGATCTTGTCCATTTGGTAGTCAGACGGGGTGCCGAGTACCGCATCAACGACTGTCGGGCCACCTGGCAACTTCTCAGCTCGTCACGAAGGCCAAGTTGTGAAGTTGGCAACTGTGAACCGCGTGTTAAGCTGGCACGCAACCCGAAATCTGGTCGACGAGTGATCATTGCTTCACCGCCCGGAATCAGCCAGTCAACCTTTGGATGTGCTACTCTACCTGCCGGTCTTGTGGTTGTCGAGCTTGAAGTTGATTCAACAGTTTCTAACAGGGCCGATGGAGAAGTTCCCGATCCACTGTTAGCCTGTCTACCGTTTCAAAACAAAGAGACTGACCTTCTTGCCTGGCGACTGGTTGGTTGTCCTGTCGGAATCTCTAATACACCCGGCCAATGTGTCTGCACCATAGCCGTATTTCATGCAGCCGCTTCTTGTGGAGTTGGCATGGGAGCAGGCTGGCGTTGTAGTGAGGGTCTGGTGGAACTGAGAGATTTGCCAGGACTGGGACCGATGACGGCGACTCGACGATTTGCCTGCCCGGTGAGCTAGCCATCAGTACTCTAGGGAAAAAGAGTTTGAGCCAAATTGAGGCAAATCTTTGCCAACTCCTCTGAGGAGTCCGTTCAAGAAAGTCACACTTTAGAATAAGGGCAACAATATTCCTACAAATGTAAATTTTGTATGTAGATTTTCACTTCAAGCTGACTTAGAAGAGCTGTTCATACCACACAAAAACCACCATTATTCTATAGGAAATATATTCGCCCTATCTCGTTTAAGTTGATAGAAGGACTGATAGTTGAACTTGTCCCACACTCATATGAGTAGGCCTTAAGTTTCCATTTAATTTCACATAACCCTTTTTCATAAAAGGATATGTGAAATTCAATGAAGACGTTAAGTCTATTCTTAGCATAGTGGGACAAATTCAACTACCAGTCTTTCATCATATTTAACTAAATAGAGTGATTACAGTCGATAATATGCTCTGCTGGTAGTCTCGAAAAATTGCGTATAAACAAAAAGCCAGCACTCTTGTCAAACCTAATTGTCGGCTTGGCTAAACCAAAGTGTTTGAAAGGCTCTCGCTTGATAAGTTGAAAAACGTCTATCTTCTACATCACAAAGAGGTTTCCGCTCGTAAATGGGAGCAAGAATCAGCGACAAAAACAGGTAGTGATTTTCCTTGCTCACAAGAAGGCCAAAATTCTGTCTAAAGCGTTGATCATATGAATCTACACTTACTGTTATTATCGTTAAGAGGACTAAACGGGACGGTATCATTTTTTGACTATATTCACCCCAGAAATAGCATCTAAGTCGGGCTTTAAATGGCCACTTTGCTTGCTCAATTTCCCAACGATGCAAGCTGGCTCCTATAAGCCTAATTGGCTCAAAAAACGCAAAATGTCATTTTGGTCACGGGCCTTTTGAAGTCAAAAGCTAACAGTGTGAGTGAAGGACAACAGGTAGGAAATTAAGAAAAGCTTGTGAAACTTAATAAATCACCCAACTTGGTTACCAACTTGATTGGTAATTAAGCAAATAAATGAGAAAAAACTTGGAATACAAGTTCTAAATTTACTTATTCTGGATGTAAAATGCGCTTTAGAGAGGTCTTCGAAGATTATCTTCAATTTATGTTAGCACATCTTGTAAAGCATTTCGAAGGAGACTGCTTCTATAGAAGATGGATGCGTATGCCTTAGCACAATTAACGACATTTCACAGTGAGCTTGATCACTTGGGGCGCATACATTTCTAAGACCTACATCTTGCAATACATCATTATAGATTAACTTTAAGTTATAATTGGCGTCTTCGCCTAGAAGTTTTGTCCCTTGTGAGAAAATTCCTCGTCATCAAATCACATGGTTCTAAGGATGAAATTGCGATTTGGCCAAAAACTCGGAACGCTTGAGATGGTTAGATGTGGAACAGCAAGCATAGTAACTGATCATCAAACCCAAACCCACGCAAACTGAGCCACCAAACCAACAATTATTTTGTTACCTCATAGCAAAACGATAAAGTTAGGTCAGAGAAAAATTGTTACTCTTCGAATATTTCTGCTAAGTTTAAAGTATATCGGAGAGGATGGTTTATTTTAAAGAAATACAGCACTCTTTCAGAGAAGCTGCAGAATAGGCAAGTAAGAGCCTTTGGGATTCGAAAAATGAGTCCATCAGCGATATCCTAGGAGGCCATGAACAAACTTTGACAGACAAAAATGTATGCTTTTCTTCGAGTACTATTCCCACAAGGAGTGATAACAATAAAAAATTCACCTTTCTCGCAATGAAACTTAAAGACGATGTTACAAGTCGATCTGGAGAGGAAAATGAGCATTGGTAATGATCAATGCATGTTTAGGAACTGAGCTTATCTGGCATTTCAGTAGACCTTGGATAAAAGCTCTGGTCGCCCAAGGTCCTATCAGTTAATGAAGGACTAACAATCAAAGTTCCCAAAAATAATGTCTGAGATCGAAAACCAATGGCAATCATCTCTGCATTTAGAGAAAATTAAGATAACCTACTTGGTTTTTCGTTCATTAACAAAATAAAAGCTTGTGCTAATGCCACGTACTCATCTAATTTCTGATCCTTGCACTTGATCCCGAAATAGCTACTCTATGTTTGTATGTTTAATCTCGATTGGCATGACCAGCCGACCCTCGCAAATTGTGATACATTCTGAGGGTTTCTTTCATCATGTGATTCAACTACCCCCTTATCTACAGCCCACCTGCACAATGTCTCAGCTCGTCGACTTTTGGGTTCCCGGCAACGGTAGCCAGATAATCGTTGCCTGGCCAATGAATAGCCACGTTGGAAGCGAGAACGAACAGAACTCCATCGTCTTTCCTAGATCCGGGAGAGAATACTTCAGAGAAAAGACCCTACAACTGTGGTCAGGCAGTCTCGTCGACCCACCGGCGACCTTCACTTTGGTCGCCTGCAGGCATAGAGACGACACCAGACGAAGAAACAGGTAAACAGTTCACATTATCGAAAGTATGGAGACCAATATGGTGTGGT